CTTTAAGGGCTCCTTTACGGGTTCCTTTAAGGGTTAGATAAGCTTGGGAGCTTTGGGTTGAAGGGCTCCTTTACGGGTTCCTTTGAGGGTAGGGTTAAGGAACTTAACTTAAGTTCCCAGACGAGGGATCTCTAGTCAAAAACTGGTGTTTTCCGTATTATGGTAAGAAGGTTGGTTTAGAGTTTAGGGTTTAGAGTTTAGGGTTTAGGGTTTAGGGTTTAGGGTTTGGGGTATTATGGTAAGAAGGATCTATAGCTACTACTTTGGTTTCCTTCTTATGGTAACTTGGTTTATGTTCCTTAACAAGAGCCCAGCCGCCGAGGTCATGTGCGCATAGGAGTGGAACACCATGGCATGGTTGAAGGCTAGCACACTCCATGCCAGCGGACCATTCGCGCACATGAAGACCACGCGGAAGACTCTGGGTGACTTGGGCATCACCCAGCAATAGAAGATGCAGAGAAAGTTGGCCCAGTAGCAGAAGTCCCAAAGAAGGAAATGCTGCTTGCGTCGGTAAAACTTCACCAAGCGGAGGCCGATCAGAGACAGCACCTTGGGTGTGAAGTAGACGAAGTACAACGGCGGAAAGGCGCCGACAATGTAGGCGCTGAGAACCATGTTAGTCACGCCGATCATGAACCATTCCTGGTTCCATGTTGGGGCTATATTGAAAATGATCACGTTTAATCCTTATTGGGTTTTGCTATAACAAAAATGTAAACTTGTATCCAACAACGACCCAGATTCCTTGTCCACTTCGATGGCTTTCTTTGCCAGCGCCTGCTGTCGCTCACCACGTTCTTGCAGGTCATTGAGCTGTGCAAAAGCTGCCACCAACTTCGACTGCCGGAACACGGCCAAGCCCACGGCGAACGCCGGGGCAAGGGCCAGCACAATTTTGAGGACATCAAAAGCGGTGGGCAGCATGCTGCACGCCGCAGGACCAGCGAGGGAAGGTACACTAGACTACATATTGAGCCGTCTGCACATCACACAGTAGCAGCAAGCAGTAGCAGACCAGAATTTTGCAATCTGATGCTCTTGCACGCATCCCTTCACGTCGTGTCCTCTGCATTGCCATGGAAGAAGATCAACGTCCTTAGAGGCAATATGCAAATCCCACATGCAAGACTACCCTAAACCCTAAACCC